GGGGGGGAGGGAATGGGGGGAAACAGTGCTGGGAGAAAAAGAACCTCACTCCATTGTGGGTCGGGGACAGAAACTGCCTGTATTTTGCTCGTGGTTATGGCCAGATGCAGTCGAATTGAGTGTTTACGACCACTGCCCAGTGACTGCAGGAGAGTAAAAAATGCATCTAGTCCACATTTTCAGACAGGGGCCTGACGGTAACCAAGCCAGAGCACTGCTGACGTGGCAATTGAGAGACGTGGCGCACGGTGTGCTAATGAGGAGAGTCGGAGAGATTATTTTTTCAATCGCAGATTCTCAGGAAAAGGTACGGACTCACTAAGCAGGGAAAATTTTCGCAAAAAAAAAAAGCAAAAAAAAACAAAAAAACTGCAAGAGAGGAGGTAGCTTCCTGTCTCCTTCTGCAAGATAGAAGAAAGTGGTGGGCGTAAAAACACAGTTTCAGCCTCAAGCACCTGACCTGAATGTTGGATAAAATTCATTTGTGATGACACAACTTCACACAAGGCAGTAATGAGCCAGGGACATGCTTTATGTGGGTCAAGGTCATGCACAGACCAAGGAAGGGCGTCCTCACACTAGGGCTTTGCTCGATGTATCATGACAAGAAATACAGATAGATTCATTCCAAAAGCCCTTCATGTGAGTACTCCCCAAGACAATAAATCGTTAATTCGTGATCAGAAGATTCACAACTGGAAAACAGGGCTTGCACACACACACACACACACACACACACACACACACACACACGCACACGGCCACACACACACACACACACACACACACACACACACACACACACAAATCGAGATTGAACTGCTTTTCTGCATCTCTTCATAAAACACATCCAGATTCAGGAGTTTGATACTATCCTCTTCGCTGGTGGGACCTTGGCCCTGGGGTCTAAAAACTACAAACTTTAAGCAAATAACAACTAGCCCGAAATAAGGGAAAAACTTCAGACTTTCAGGAAAGGCCAAGCCCATATATAGTCAAACAGAGCTGCTCGGTAAACCGTAGGCAGAGAGGGAGAAGAAGACAACAAACGAGGGGCTGTATATATAGGGTGCTCCCTCTTTTTCACAACTGTGTGCTGCTTCTGGTGCTGCTGCTGCTGCAGCTGCTGCTGCTGATTTTCTGAATATTATAAGTCCAGAGATTTCGCTAACCAAATTACAGAATCCTGCAAACAGACTGAAGAGTACGGAATACGGCTCCTAGTCAAAGTGGAAAAAAGAAAAAAAAAAAAGAAAAAGAAAAAGAAAAAAAGAACAAAAAGAAGAAAGTACGTAATGGACGTGTGCTAGAATGGGGGCTCCCTACTCATCTTCGCTGTCACTGCCGGAAAGTCCGGTAGCTTTCAAGAGTCTTCTCCCTCTCACGACGCCGACGTCGTCCTCTTCGTCATCGTCCATGCCGGCATCACCACGATGCTGCTCTTCTTCTCCTTCTCCTTCTTCTCCTTCTCCTTCTTCTTCTTCTTCTTCTTCTTCTCCTTGTGCTTCTGCTTGTTCTTCTTCTTCTTCTTCTTCCACTTCCTCTTGCTCCGCTCCCATCTCCTCTCCGCCCTCTCCTTCTCCGTCCGCCTCCCTCTCGCCTCCTTCGGCCTCGTCTGAGTGGTTGGCTTGGTCAGCATTCTCATTCCCCTCCTCTTCACTCTGTGCGCCGGCCCCTCCCCATCGCTCGTCATCATCCTCTTCCTCCATCTCCATCTGACCCTCTTCCTCCTCTTCGTCATCGGAACCAACCACCTTTCGGTTCTTCTTACGCTTCTTTCTGCTGCCAGTTGCCTGACCCTGCAAAAAAATTACACATTAGGCGAAAAAGATAAGAGAAAAAAAAGAACAAAATGCCGAACGCCATTGACAACGACACACAAGTAAGCACCTCGCATTGTGTGTGTGACCACAAAAAAACTTTTTTTTTTCTTTCCCACTTTTATAATTACTACTATTTAGTATTTACTACTAAATTACTAGTGAGCTTCCCCGCCCCCCCCCCAAAAAAAAAGAATCACACCAGGGAGTGAAGAAAACCACACGGTAAGAAAAACTCATGCATAGGAGTACACAGTTAAAAAAAAAAATAAAAAAAAATAAAAAACTAAATAAATCATCCCAGTAAAATACTCGAAGATTTATCAATCAACAGCGAAAGAAGCACGACTTGCGATTTTTTTTTATTTTTATTTTTTTTTGGTTGGGGGGAGGGGGGGTGGGGGGGAAGGAGGAGGGATGGGGGGGGATTTGTTAGTTATGAGAACGTACGACTCCGTATTTCCAAAAAAACCTATTTTGCCCAAAAGCCTCAAAGGGGTATTTAGGAACCCCCTAACACGTTTACACTATATTTCATATCCATTGGATTATTTCGATTTATTTCAGGATGCGAACTCAGGATCAGCTACTCAACAGTTAGTACATGGTGTTACATACCATTCAGCCACATGAGCAGAGTGTCTGCAAAAAAAGTGAAGGGGTAAAGGTCTGCCCACAAAACTGACTTCCAGGAGTGACACCGCAAGTTTTTCAAGAGGAGAAAGAATATACCGCTTTTTTTGGGGAGCGGGAAAAGGCCTTTCCTATCCTCTTTTGGCCGATGGGTTCTGATGCCCCTTCTTACATCTGCCCGAACCCAAGCAACTTCCGAACTTTCCATACAAGGGGTCGGAGCTGGGAGAGGGGGAGGAAAAGCTCTTTTTTTTTCCCCGGGGGGGGGGGGGGGGGGTTGCAAGGTTCATGAACACTCAGAACACTCTAAGCGGACTCAGAGACTCTACAGTCTTCAGGATGAAGTAGAACAGTGACCACAAAGGAGACGAAGAAAAAGAGGAGAGAGAAAAATAGGAAGTCTAAAACGAAGAAGGAAAAAGTAAGGACGAAAAAGAAGAAGAAGCAGAAGAAGAAGCAGAAGCAGAGGAGGAGGAGGAGGAGGAGGAGGAGGAGGAGGAGACGGGTGAGAAGAAGAAGAGGAAGAGGAAGAGGAAGAGGAAAAAGAAGAAGAAGAAGAAGAAAAAAGGCGAAGAAGACGATGAAGAATAAGAAGACCACTTTAACTTCTTCCTGGAGGAAGGAGGCACACGGGAGGTCTTGAAGGGGGGTGATGATGTGAAGGATAAGAACGCCGGGACATGAGGACGATTTGGGGGTGGGGGGGGGGGGGGGGGGGGGGGGGGGGGGGGGGGGGGGGGGGGGGGGGGGGGGGGTTAGATTGACTGGAAGACACCATGACAGGAGGGAACCCGGGCGCGACCCATGAATGTTTTGCTGGGCCATTCGAATTTGAATGCCCCAGGAAGGACTGGAAATCTCCACCGTCGATTGTTAAGATGAACAGCAGAGTGTGAAAAAAAAAAAAAAAAAAATCCTCAAAAATAGTCAAAACAAGGCCCTAGCCGAACGAATAGGCAACTGCGTCTGCAGGGGTACCCGAACGACCTGTTTAATGGATGCTTGGGTATTTTCGTTCGAAAAAACGCCCCTTCTTCGGAGAAATGGAGAATGAGATTGTGTAGTTGGTAAAAAATGGGGCTTTGTTCACTGCATTGAGTATCAGGCAGAGTATCGGGCGAGGAGGGTTGGCGCCTTGGAGTTGTATCCAGAGGCTGGCCAAGCCGATAACTGGGATTTTCCAAGGTGCCGAGGTACTGTGCCAGCGAAAAATCATGATGCGGGAAGCACTGCTGCAAAAACAGACAAATCGCGTTACGAGTAAGTAGCTTGCCGGGCGTGTGACATGGAAGCATGCCAGCGCAACAGACAAATCATGACGCGGGAAGAACTGTTGCAGAAAGGAAGGGGTACTGAGTGAACAGAATGTCGTCAGTACCCGGTGTAAAGTTTGGGAAAGTTCAGGTCGAGAATATGCGGGCAATCACAGCCAAACCAGCGCAGTGAGGCGAGGAATAATAAAAAAATGTGGAAGGTTTGGCAGGAACTTCGCGACGGTCCAGGCGGCGCACAGGCCGCAGAATACTGACGTGGATTGAGGACGAACTGGGAACGCGAATCCGCAAGTAAAATGGAAATGTTTATGGTATAAATTAGAGATACTGTAGTAGTACCACCATCTCGATTCCCCCTGAGGCCAAGCCTGGCGACGACCGAAACTAGTAGGGGATCTACTAGTCAGCTCCGCTCCGCAGTGTGGCGGTGAGAGCGGTCGTGAAAACCATAGCTCCGCTATGGTTCTCTCTCCGGGCTTTGTTGTTCTATCCATACGAGAGGTTTTTCGAGATTGGTTACACACAGAGTGCGCCGTGGTTTTACACAATTGTGTGTTCAAGCGAGATAGGTCGTTTGTCTCTTTCACATTCGTAAATGCAGCGGCAACCTACCAGGAGAAACCCACCTGTGCATGGTGGTCCTGTAGCCATAGGATCAAGTGTATTCTGGGAACACGAAGGTGTTATTCGTACAAGGAGGGACTTCGAGACGGCGAACTAGGTGTTCTTGAAGCACGAGGCAATGAGCGGAGGTCCGAAAACCGCCCCAACCTAGCTCATGATAAGTCCACCAACTTCCCAGTCGTATTCCTACAGTTAAAAACGGATAGAACGGTAATTGGAATGGGGACGGAGGTAATAATTGGACGAACGGTGGAAATGGTAACGATGGTAGTGGTGGAGGCAATAATGGTAACTGGAATGGCGGATGGAGTAACGGAAGGGGAGGCGGGAACAATGGAAACTGGGGTGGAGGTGGAGGTGGAGGCAGCGACAACTGGAACGGAGAAGCAATGGTAATTGGAATGGAGGAGCCAATGGTAACGGGAACAACGACGGACGTGGAGGTTGGAGCAATGGCAGTGGTAGCCAGTGGAACGGTGGTGGAAATCAGTGAGTGGAAACGGGAGTGGGAATGGTAACGGTGGAGGAGAAGGGGACTGGAAGAGGTCAGCTAAGTGCTACACCTGTAACCAGTTTGGGCATATTAGTCGAGAGTGTAATTCGCCCAGGCATGGTGGCTTCACTCCAACTAGTAACCGGGGCAAGAACGACGGGGCAAGCAGTTCAAGTAGCACGAATGAACCTGCTAAAGCTGCTGCACCAGTGATGAGCAAGGACTTAGAAGAATCAATGAGGATGGTGTGCTTGCATACTAGTCGTCAGATCGAGAAGGAGGAAAGGAAGGAGGCCGAAAATTGGGACGTTGATGAAAGGAGGAAGCGTGAGGAACTTGAGAGATCCGCTAGGGAAGAGAAGAATCGTTTGGAGCTCGAGAGGAAGCGGGCCAAGGAGAAAAAGGAAGCGGCGAGAGATTGGAAGGTAGAGATGCCCCTAGCTAAGCAGAAGGAGACGTTGCGTAAAGAGTTCAAGTGTATGCTCGACAAGAAATTGAAGAGTGCGATAGTGTCTCAGAAATCTCTGAAGAGAAAGGGTAGAGCTGAATCAAGCTCAGATGACGAATAGGAACCAATCGAGGAGAAATTAGAAAAACGGAACATCAGCAAATTCCAACATGTCAAGTCACCTCGCCTGGCGAATCACCAATGAAAGTTGGACGTGCTTCTTCCTCGCTACCTCGGACGACAGCGGAGGAGAGATCTCCACGGCTGGAAGTACCACAACGACGATCAAGAGTTGACGGTGTACAGCCGAGATTTCCGTATCAAGACTCAAGCCTTTGGGAGGGAGCCCCGTCAGCAAAAGACTACAATACGAATACTGCATTCAAGAAGGCGATTCGGAAGTTTCTGGGAAAAAGACTGACGCCTGCAATTGAGGAAATATGCCGCAAAGCGGGGGTGGTATACCGAGGTCGCCCCGAAGAGTTGGATGGGCTGATTGAGCTGCGAGTGATGTACTTTAGTAAGCAAGTGCCGCCACCCACGGCTCGAACACCGAGAAATCAAGGAATCGGCATTGTGATCCAGGAGGTGCAGCAAAAGGAGGAACCATGCGAGGAGAGATCTCCACGGCTGGGAGTACCACAACGACGATCGAGAGCTGACGGTGTACAGCCAGGATTTTCGTATCAAGACTCAAGCCTTTGGGAGGGAGCCCCGTCAGCAGAAGACTCTACAGTACGAATATTGCATTCAGGAAGGCGATCCAAAAGTTTATGGGGAAAAAACTGAAGCTTGCAATCGAGGAAATATGACGCGAAGCGGGGGTGGTATACCGAGGTCGCCCCGAAGCTGTGGATGGGCTGATTGAGCTGCCAGTGATGTACTTTAGTAAGCAAGTGCCGCCACCCGCGGATCGAACACCGAGAAATCAAGGAATCGGTATTGTGATCCGGGAGGTGCAGCAAAAGGAGGAACCATGCGAAGCAGCTGATGAACCTCCCGAAGAGGGAGGAAATCCCGGGATCGATAACTCGTAAGACAGGGGAATTATGGAATGAATTGGGCGTTTATTTAGAGCTGTGGAAAAACTCCGTACGCAGCTCGAGTTGTGTTGCAAGCGACTTCGTATCATATCGGTGAGCGTGCTGTGGTATTTAATAGTATTATTGGTTCTAAAGGGGGAGATCCACTGGGGTGCTAAGTTTGGAGGTAACTGGTCCGAGTTGATTAGTACGAAGCTCGAAGCATGGGAAGATCTGAGTTCATGCGTTTATGTTCTAATTAATCCTGGTGTACGGGCTATCTAGCACCTGTATAGAGCAAGTAGTAAGGATGGCAATAGAAATGCGAAGTTATATAACTGGTTCGGGCACACCGATGAGCTGGACTATATTGCTATCCCTATTGCTTTTGCTCCTACCCATGACCTCGAGCAAGTGAAAAGAGTTTATATTTAAAAATGGTCTCCAACTCTCAATTCCAAGGGAAGAGGGAAAAGACAAAAGAGAAGGACAAGAAAGGGAAGAAAGGAAAGGAAGCGGGGGAAGTGGAATATGATTAAGGATCTGTCGATCATTTACGAAACTCGGGACTTGAGAACCGTTAAGCTGACAAAGATATGTACGGCCGCCTGGAAAGGAGAACGAAGGAAGAGATTAGAGGGTGGGAAGGTTTGGGGACAAAAGTGGGATGTAGTTATTAAGGAATTAGGTGCCACTATCGTTCGGGTCGGGTCGGTTGAGAGGATGATTGGGGAACTGAAGAGCAGGCTGGAGGGAGGGATATTTGAGGTAGTTGAACTGAGAGAAAGAACGCTTTCAGAGGGAAAAGCGGAATTGAAGTGTGCTCTATTTCAGCACATCAGGAACAAGTGGAACAAAAAGAAATTGTACAAGTGTGATATTCATCGACTGATGAACCTGCTTGTTGCAGTTGGTTGCTTCTCTCTTTCAACGTTCAAATCTTAAGGATATTTTAGAAGGTGTAAGTTGTCAGAAATTCCAGTTTAATATATTAGGAAAAAGGTGTGCATCTCCGTAACGTATGACAATAAAGTGTCTATGAGTGTTATTCGGGAAAAAGTTGTGAAAAAGATGCGAGTTGAGCTTCCTTTATCACTATCCTTTTTCATGTGTCGAAGGTTGTTAACAATTTGGACGAAAAATCCGACAGTTGGTGATATCCTTCATGACCACCGCCCTGCCGCTCAACAGGAAGTGGGAATCTGCATGTGCGCAGATAGCGCCCTCCCGAAAGTGGATTGAGTGATCTGCAATCGGTTCACAGGTTCGTGAAGAACGCTCGTAATATTGTTCTAGTGGACGGAAGCTTCAGGGCAAGCATGATCATGCAGGAAATCAATGATGGCCTCATAAAGTTGGGATTGAAGTCCAACGCGAGAAGGGATGAAGTTTTACTATGTGAGAATGAAAGGAAAGACCTTGATCTGGGGC